GCAGAAATAATTCTTCTTTGTACTGCATTTATAACATGTAGTTATAAATTAGTAGATTACACAGTCAGGTTAATGTTTGTTAAATGAAAAAGTAAATGCAATTTTATCCTTGCAACTACCGTGTATTGGAATGTTCACTATCCTATTTCAGATGAGGGAATTGTGGTTCTGAGAATCTATAAACATTGCCCAAGTAGAAGCAGCCAGAAAGTGCTGAAACAAATGTTCAAACTAAAGCACCACATTTTCTTTTCCCAACATCCTCATGATCTGAGAGTGGAGAGGAATTATTTACTTATAAGAAATTCTTAGAATAAGAATATTCTGCACAGTTTAAACTGCATGCCCTTAGTAGCATATATTTCCTTGAGCAATTATTCACTCATAAAATAGTTTTCTTCATTTAACATGTCTACTAACTGTATTTGATGCTTCCATTGTCCTTGGTGCTTTACCTTGGACATCCACATAGCAAGGTAGAGTTGGGGCCATAGTTACTGTATATAAGGCGTGGGATTATATTCCATCTACATTTCTGCCCTAATCTCTCCTTCTCAGCAGTTATGGGGAATAAACCGTGAGTTCTAGAAAAAGACTTTACTTGTTCATCTCTCTTCAACATCCTTGTGCCCAAAGCCCACATGATTCTGAATATTCTTCAGGAAAGCTATATTCTAGGTCCTATTGTGCATCAGTTTAGAGTGGTGACTGTTCTAGTGACCATTTCATTCGTTTGTTCAAGGAAGCAATGCCAGGTGTTGCTCTATGGAAAGTGAGTATTGTTAATAACTGCACTATCTGAAACCATACTTAGGAAACAAAAAGTTTAGACAAAGAACAGCCATGAAGATAAAATCCTGGACATGACACTATGAGCGTGAAGAGCGCCACTCCCAGGGATTTGCGGGGTCCAGACCACTGATGCTCCCGCCGCATGAGAAAGGTTCACAGAAAAAGCACTCTCTGCTCCCCTCCATTGTCCCTGGTCCATGCTCCTTTCATTGGTGGGAATGTTCCTCTAGTACTTCCCTCTAGAGTTATAGTGCTGAGGACAGTCTGATTCAGTTTCTTCCTTACTGGTGTAAACGGAGAAATTATCCTGAAAGAATTCCCATCTCTCAGTTTCCTTACATTTTTTCTTCCTAGGATTTCTTTTTTGTTTTCTTTCTCTCCCCTCCTTTCTTCCTGTCTTTCCTTTCTTATTTTTAAAATAAAATTATATGTATTTAAGGAGTACAAAGTGATGTTTTGATAAACATACACACTGTATCACACCGAATACTACAGTTACACTAATTAACACATCCATTGCTTCACATGGCTACCTTTTTTGTGGTGGGAACTCTTAAGATCTACTGTCTTAGCAAATTGTAAGCATATGATAAAATACATTAGCATCCCCACTTTTCACATTAGATCTCTAGGACTTATTCATACTTTTAACAGAAATTTTATACACTTTGACAAACATCTCTCTATTTTCCCCCATCCATGCCCCTAACCACCAATCTACTCTTTGCTTCTATGAATTTGACTTTTTAAGATTTCACACATAAGGTGAGGTTATGCAATATTTTTCTTTCTGTGTCTGGCTTATTTTACCTAGGTAAGTGTCATTTTCTTTAATTAGATTCCCAAGTGCCCTTGAACTTTCCACCCTCATTCTACTCCCAATGCCGAACACCTTTCACAACATACTCTCCTGGGCAGGGACCATAGGGCCCCAGGATCCAGGTGTCTAATAATGGCACTAACTCTTGTGAGTAGCGTGAAGGGAAGAGTTTACTGGAGTCAGGGTCCATAAAATCAGTGTCCGCTGCTCTGGTAGAGAACAGCCAGAAATAGCAGCAGTACAGCCTTCTGAAGCTGGTGAGTCTCAAGGTGGGGCCAAAGAAATTATGAGGAAGAGGATGCTGAGGAGTGGAGGGGGAATCCAGGAGCCTGGTGTGAAAAGGAGATAGAACTCTTTTAATATGGCATGGTGTAGCAGATGACAACCTTGCCACAGTACTTAGGTTCTGGTACAAGTGTTAGCAACCTACGGCTGTGATTTCCCTCAGAGCTGAGGCTAAGTCACTTTATGGCTTGTAGACTCAAAACTTCTGTAGGCTCAAAGATCCCAAAGTGTATCATAGCTATGAGGCCAAAGCTCTGTGCCTAGCTAGGTCATAGTCTTCCTTTCTTCCCTAGTCTAAATTCATTTATAAGCCTAGGTGACTGCTCCTTCTTCTAGGCAATCATAGCTGGGCTCAAATATTCTATTACCATTTTGGTTAGTTCAAAGTCTGTCTGACTTTTTCAGACTTCCAATGACTTATGGTAAGAGACCATGTTTTGCTCATTGACAACTTGAATGAGGAACCACAATGACCACTCCTTGGTGAATATCAATCTGTGAGTATGAACTGATGGAGTTGGAGTATTGAAGATCCAAAACGATGCCACAGATGGCCAATAATTCTTCATTTCTCAGATTAGGAGTCCTCAGTATCATTAAGAAAAATTCAGAGGGAAGAAAAATGGTTCCAGCTATTAAGAAATTACAAGAGAACTAGGGAGCATAGTTGAAAGTATATTATTACCTGGAAGAATCCATCAGTGTTACAGGAAGTTCAAAAAGAACACGTATCTTCTCGTATTTGTTAAAAAATCTGGGAAGCATTCCTGACTCCAGTCTTTCTCTGTCTCCATAATCTTTCTTCCACCAAATTTTCTCATAGCCCTCCTCACCCCTCAAAATTATCCTTTCTTCTCCATTTACATGGTTATTACTTTTGTTTGGACCTTAATCACTTTTCCTTTAAACTACTAAGAACTCTCCAAAAAGGCTCCCGACCTTCTGTGTTTCCCTTTGACCTATCTGTTATGGTCTCAATGTTTGTGTCCTCAGAAAATTCATACGTTGAAATCCTAACCTCTCTCCCACCTCCAAGGTGATGATATTAGAAGTGGAAACTTTTTTGAGCTAATTAGGTTATGAGGGCTCTTAGTTGAGATTGGTACCTCTATAAAAGAGATGGTAGAGAGCAGCTAGCCCCTTCCAGCATGTCAGGACATAAGGAGATGATGCCACCTCTGAACTAAGAAATGAGCTCTAGCCAGACACTGAATCTGCTGGCATTTGGTCTTATACTTCTTAGCTTCCAGAACTATGAGATTTGAATGCTTGTTGCTTATAAGTCACCCAGTTTATGATATTTTGTTTTAGCAGCTAAAGTGGTCTAAGATATCAACTATCACATATCACATCCCTGTTCAAATATTCTGTGATTCCCTACAGTGTACGTGACAATGCCTACTATCAGACAGACCTCTAAAGATCGTCTCAAGGCTGCCACTGCTTCTCTTTAAACATCATCTTCTGATACTCTACTCTCCCACCTCTGTTTCCCCCAAAGAACTTAAGATTCAGTAGCTCCTAATGCCTGATTACTTAACATCCATGGAGGCAGGCGTTTTGTTCTTACCTTTGCCTAAAAGGACAGTCTTTAATCTCCCCCAGAAAATGTTACGTCTTTTTTTCTGTCCTTTGACGCCCTTAGCTTGTTGCATCTTTTGGCTTAACAGAACTTGAGGATATGACAGTCCCTTTCCCTTCCCACAATAACACCTAAAGTTAAGTACCACTTATTCTATTTCATTTGTGAGAAAACTGGGCACTATGAAGTTGAAATAGCTTTTAGGTTTACACGATCAGTGTAAGCCAGAATTGTCATTTGTTTCTGCTCAAGGATAACTTTTAAACCATATTACACTGCTTCATTCATCTGAAATACTGCCTCTTTCCCACTATTTTATGATTGCCATTATTAGAGCCACAGCTATATTGCATTATACATGTTCGCAAGTCAATTTTCTCTATTAGTTAGGTAAGCTCTCAGAAGATAATGGCTTTTGTTTATGCTATGTACTACTACCTTTAGCATTCTGTCCAGGAACTAAGAAAACACTATGTTCTCACTTGTTTGAATAGATCAAGCCATTTAGAGTAGTTATACTTGAGATTATTGGAAAGGAGAAGGCTTTACAGGTAAAGGATCAGTCATTGTAGCTATGCTGATTACACGCTTCCTGGTCTCTTTCTTTTACCCTGCCATGACTCCTTGGTTACTTTCTGTCCCTTTGGTAGTGACAGCCATTTCTGTTACCCTCCTTACTACTTGGCCTCTCTCTTCATTTAGTAGTCAGGGAAAACAAATGATACCCACAAAAGAAACAGCTGGAATCAAAGCAGATGAGTTTACAGAATGTAGATTACATATGCTAAGGATAATTGGATCCTGGTCACAAGGAAGAACATGTAATTTTACTTACCAGGTAAGTGGGTTCTTGCAAAGATTTACTTGCCTAAAATTCACTCCCTGACTTTTATTTCATCTTTGGTGAACTTCAGCTCATTTGATGAGAGCAGGTCCTCATGTAACATCATTTCACACAACGTTGTGTCATTATAACATTAAGGAAAAAAACACTGATTTCAGGCAAAGACCACTGTCTGTGTGGTGTTTGCATGTTCTCTCCATGTCTGCCTGGGTTTCCTCCAGGTATTCCAGTTTCCTTCTACATCCCAAAGACATACAGCTTAAATCTAAATTGTCCCAGTGTGACTGAGTGGTTGTGTGTGTGAGTGCTCGCTGTAAAGCAATGGTGTCCTGCCTGGGATTGGTTCCCTGAGCTTTGGGAACTAACCCAAAGCTGCTGGGGTAAGCTTGGACCAGCTGTAACTCTGATCTGAAACAAGTGGGTTGGGAAATGAACGAATGAATAAAAATCATTATACAGGGTAAAGTAAAAATTAGTAAAGTGTACTGAAATCATATAAATGCATGACAATAAATGATATTTGTGATTGCTGGTTTTTAAACTGTGTGGTGGTAGAAGGTTCTTCTTACAATTTTCCTTTATCTCTACTTTATTCTTAAAACATCAGGATAACAATATTAATTACACTTTAGTATTTTTTAAAAGGATGAAATGAGATAATGAATATAAAACATTATGGCTGGCATATGATACATACTTGCTTAAATATAAGGGAGGATGATCGTGATTTTAAAAACTTTATTAGAACAGATAAAGCGTCTCAGTGGAAACCCAAACTCTACTACATCTAGAACATATAATTTTTATGTTTCTGTACTTCTCTCCTGCATTTTAAGGTACTCTGGGTCTCTAGATTGATCAGGAAACTTTACATGGCATCACCCAGCAATGACTCCACTGCCCCAGTCTCTGAATTCCTCCTCATCTGCTTCCCCAACTTCCAGAATTGGCAGCACTGGCTGTCCCTGCCCCTCGGCCTCCTCTTCCTCTTGGCCATGGGGGCCAACGCCACCCTCCTGATCACCATCCGGCTGGAGGCCTCTCTGCACCAGCCCTTGTACTACCTGCTTAGCCTCCTCTCCCTGCTGGACATCGTGCTCTGCCTCACCGTCATCCCCAAGGTCCTGGCCATCTTCTGGTTTGGCCTCAGGTCAATCAGCTTCCCTGCCTGCTTCCTGCAGATGTTCATCATGAACAGTTTTCTGACCATGGAGTCCTGCACGTTCATGGTCATGGCCTATGACCGTTATGTGGCCATCTGCCATCCATTGAGATACCCGTCTATCATCACTGACAAGTTTGTGGCTAGAGCTGTGGTCTTTGTTATAGCCCGAAATGCCTTTGTTTCTCTTCCTGTTCCCATGCTTTCTGCAAGGCTCAGATACTGTGCAGGAAACACAATCAAGAACTGCATCTGCACTAACCTGTCTGTGTCCAAACTCTCTTGTGATGACATCACTTTCAATCAGCTCTACCAGTTTGTGGCAGGCTGGACCTTGTTGGGCTCTGACCTTATCCTTATTTTTATCTCCTATTCTTTTATACTGAAAGTTGTGCTAAGGATCAAGGCAGAGGGTGCTGTGGCCAAGGCCTTGAGCACGTGTGGTTCCCACTTCATCCTCATCCTCTTCTTCAGCACAGTGCTGCTGGTTCTGGTCATCACAAACCTGGCCAGGAAGAGGATTCCTCCTGACGTCCCCATCCTGCTCAACATCCTGCACCACCTCATTCCCCCAGCTCTGAACCCAATTGTTTATGGTGTGAGAACCAAGGAGATCAAGCAGGGAATCCAGAACCTGCTGAGGAGGTTTGTAGGAGTAGGAAGGATTAGATCCACTTTTGGAGTTGTTAATGAAAAATAGAAAAATAGGGAATTATTTTTATGCTGGAAAGAAAATTTCACTTTTAAATCCTGGCCTGAGTTCTGATTCTTCTTTTCCCAATATCTCAGTTAACAATGAACACATTCATTTGTGGATCTTTGTTTTCTGTTGCTTGAAAGGAAATCTCCCTTTCCTGGAGATTACCACGGAATTTTTTCCTAATCTGATTTGTAACAAAGAATCTTGCCAAACCTTTGACAAATGGAGCTGTATTAGAATGTAAGTGTTTGATCACTAGAGACAAACTATACAATGCATTTAAAAAGATCTGCCTGTCTTCTGATTTGCAAATGACAGTGATTCCTTTCCTGTCTCTGATTCAGCTTGGCAGACGGCTATCTGGCTTTGGTGCCATGAAGACATTGCTTGGGATAAGTACAGATGTTGACCCTGGAACAACGTGGGGTTGAGTGCTTTGTCCTGAACACCCCGACTCTCTCTCATGGCACCTGAGTCAGATGTGCTATTCACTGGCTCCTCAGTTCTTCCTAGAGCCAGTTAAGATTTTCAGTCTGTACCACCTGAAATAATAGGCAGCACTTCCTATTATTTCTCTCTACTTAGATTTGCTTCCTTCAGTTTTCGGTTTGTAAAGGAGGTTGACAACGTTTTAGGATTTTTAGGTTGGGGAGGAGTTGTATTGTTTGAAGGGCTTTATGTTCTTTTCTTCATCATCTTCATCTTTGTGTCGTTATAATACTCATTCCTATCCCACCTTGAACTGCCCATCCTAGGCCCAACGGACGGTCCCATTCATTCCCTCTGTGGTTGTTTGCTGCAGCCTTCCTCCTGAGCTGCAGCTGGCAAAGCTGCAAACAAATTTTCCAGACATGAAAGTTCTAGGGTTTGTTTTTCACAGTATAGTGTATTCTACTATTTTGCCATTTCCTTCTTAATGATGCCACACAGTTCAGTATCTCCAAGGAATATTAATCAATCTTAATCTGTCTCTTTGGGGGATGAAAATCAAGATTTCAAGTCCATCATTTGTCCAAGCATTGTTTGACAACTGTCCCAATTGGACTATTCTACTTTCATTTGTACTGAAGCTTATCTTTGCTGAATGACTTGTATTAAAATTAACATCTCTACAGTGTTTAAAAAATTTTATGTTACAGCATTTTTAATTGCAGACCTCTTATATTCTAGCCCTAACATACTTTAGACTTATCTTAAACTTTGTTTTTTCTGCCCCTGTAGCCCAAATGAACTGCTCATTATTTATTGAAAAGCACTTATTCTCATTTTGCTCTCTCTCCTCTATCATTTGATGCTTCACACATCAGCCTTCTTTTTTTTTTAGAGGAAGAAAGAGAGAAAGAAAGAAAAAGAATAAAAAAAAAAGAAAAATAATAAAGGAAAGGAAGAAAGAGGAAGAGGAGGAAGAGGGAGAGAGAACAGGGGTGTTGCTTTATTGCCCCGGCTAGAATGTAGTCTAAAAATGGGTATGCCTGTAATTGTGTTTAATAATAGAGA